AGCCCCTATCTCCACTTCCCATCTTGCTTTAGAAGCCCTGGAGTTAGAGATGAGAGCCATGACACCTGACTTTTTACGTGGGTTACAGGGTTGAACACAAGTCTCCGGCTTGCAGAGCAAACATTCCTACCTGGGACCCCATAGAATTTGTTTTCAAAGTAGAGATGGAACTTATTAGGGAAACATCCTAACATAGATTTAAGCACACAGTGAAAATGGGGGCTTGTTTGTTTGTTTTTACAGTTTATTCTATGCTGCATCTAATTCCACGTTGTAAGTTCTCATTCTTTGAGGGCTTCTTTTCCTCCTGTTGGGGACTAGCCTCGACTAAAAGACCCTGGAAAAGGCGTGGGGATTTATATATATAGAAAAGAATATTAAGACACAAGTGAAAATAATAAAACTGAGAAACATAGGATAGTATTGGGAGGGAGTTCCAGTGAGTACTGAATATTCTCCCACATTTCCAACTGCTTAAAATACCCCTGACCCCAAACCGTAGGAGTAAGACAAAAGACCGCATTACCGTGAACAGACCAATTGAAGGTCACGGGCTTCATAGTTAAACATTCTGTTGCTAGAACAAAAACGAGCCACTCCGTATGCAAACCACTCCCTGGGTGGAACTCTAACTCATTTTCCTAAAGGGACCCGGAACTTAGTTAGATCCTTACATTTTTGTCTGAGGTAGGAACAGCTGATTCCTGGAGCACAAGGGCCAGCAATTAGTCACACTTGTTGACTATAACCTTGAGCAAGCAGAACTTCATTGCTTAGGTGGGGCCTTTGTTTGTAGCACAACAACCTTGAAGGAATTAGTGGAAAGTTCCAAACTCTCTGCCCTTTGGTCCAGGTGGAAATTGGCCTTTCCTCCTGTGCAGCACCACCTTCCGGCTTAGGGCAGTGAGGTTCAACTTCACGAAGCAGGGAGCTCCTGTATGGGTCAGTCTGCCCCTGAGTTCTGTCATTAGGGAAGACAGCTTAACACAGCCTGGATGGGTGTGTTTGCTATCCTAGGAATCTGTACCCGGCCTTGAAGCTCAGCTGTGTTGTCTGTTTTCTTAAAGATTACTTTATGCTTCTGTGTATGCATGCCTCCTGCATGCATGTATGTGTGCCCCATGTACACCTGGTGGCAGTGGAGGCCAGAAGACTCCCCTGGAAATGTAGTTATAAACAGTTCTGGGCCATCAGATAGGTACTGGGAAATTAACATGGGTCCTCTATGAGGACAGATATTCCAACCCTCCAACCATGAGGATAGGTGCTCCAACCCTCCAACCACGAGAACAGGTGCTCCAACCCTCCAACCATGAAGACAGGTGCTCCAACCATGAGAACAGGTGCCCCAGCCGTGAGAGCAGGTGCTCCAACCCTCCAACCTTGAGGACAGGTTTTCCAACCCTCCAACCATGAGAACAGGTGCCCCAACCCTCCAGCCATGAGAGCAGGTGCTCTAACCCTCCAACCGTGAGAACAGGTGCTCCAACCATGAGGACAAGTGCTCCAACCCTCCAACCATGAGGTCATCTTAACAGCTGTTAGGTTCTTTTTTTTTTAATTTTTAAAATTTATTTTAAAATTTGTGTGTTGCCCCGGCCTGCAGGTAAGTCAACAGAGACCCTAGAGGGGGAGTGAGAATGGGATGGGACAAGACACACTAGAGATGGAGACAAGAAAGGATTCTGATCAAGTCTCGTTTATTCAAGGGAATAATCCAGGTAAATAGAGGGTAAGGGAAAGGAGGAAGTTCTCCTTGTGTACATGGGTAACTAAACAACTTACTCAGCAACCTAACCATGGTCTAATGGACAGGTGGAAAGTCCATAACCATATTATGCAGAAAAGTCAGAATGTTCAGAACACAGGAACAATGGAGCAATAACTCCTTGCAGAGTTAGTATTTGACAGATCAGAACAGCAGAAGCCAAGTGCAACAGAGTGGGTGAAACTGATCTAGGGAGCAGTAAGTCTCCCACAGTGTGTGTGTGTCTGTGTATGTGTGTGTCTCTGTGTATGTGTGTCTCTCTCTGTGCATGTCTGTATGTATCTGTGTGTCTGTCTCTGTGTGTGTGTGTGTCTGTATGTATCTATGTGTGCATGTGAGTATAGGTACCAGCAGAGCCCAGAGGAGACACTAGATCTTTTGGAGCTGGAGTTACAGGTGACTGATGCAGGGATGTAAATTCAGTTCCTCTGCTAGAGCAGTCTGAACTCTTGACCTCTGAACCAGCTCCTCCCACCCAATCTGTGTTCTTTTGTTTGTTTGTTTGTTTGTTTGGTTGGTTGGTTGGTTGGTTGGTTGGTTTTCAAGACAGGGTTTCTCTGTCCTAGAACTTGCTCTGTAGACCAGGCTGGCCTCCAGCTCACAGAGATCCACCTGCCTCTGCCTCCCAAGTGCTGGGATTAAAGGTGTGTGCTACCCACCGCCTAGCCTATCTGTTCTTAAGCATCTGCTGAAACCAGGGAACTTTTTGTGGGTTCTTGGTCTTGCTGACAAATGCATTTTAAAATTGACTCAGAAGGAAACTAAAGTCTGTTTTATTAGCATTTGAGAGAAAGTCAACAGAGCAGGAAAGTTATAGATCTTAGCAGCTTCCAGGAAAAGAACAGTGGGCAGAAAGAGAGAAGCTTGTGTTTTGGGATGTAGGATCCAGGAGAGCAGGCATGTTCGGCAGTAGAGGTTTAGAGTAAGTCCAGGCATTGGCAGAAGAGCTTCTGGACATTTCCTTAACACGTCTTTAAGGGAATCAACTTTTGGGAGGAGGGGAGTCTCTAGCCAGGTGGTTGACAGGCCTGGTCGCATTAACAATTAGTGAAAGGAACAATGGTGCCCAATGTTCTGATCTTTGTGGTAGATCAGAATGCCAGATCTCCAGCCAAGGCCCAAGATAGAATTCAGGTTTCATTCTTTTTACTGGGAGAAAGTAAGTTAATGGGGCTCAGTGGAGCCTTAATACCCAACCCCTTTAATTTGGTTGTTTAAATCCTAAAGAGGAGCCGGGCAGTGGTGGCTCAAGCCTTTAATCCCAGCACTCGGGAGGCAGAGGCAGGCGGATCTCTGTGAGTTCGAGGCCAGCCTGACTACTGAGGAAGTTCCAGGACAGGCTCCAAAGCTACAGAGAAACCCTGTCTCGAAAGACAAAACAAAAACAAACAAACAAAAAATCCTAAGGAGGGGCAAAGCTGAATCTGAATCTTCCTATTCTAGGGTTGCCAGAGAAACAGGAGGTGGAGACAGGCCCCCAAGCCTGCCATTGCTTGTCCAACCCCCAACACTGCGGCAGAAATCATCACTCCTTTTGGACCCTATGTCTTCTGCAGCCTTTGGGCTGTCACGTGCACTACCCACGTTTCCATTTTAATGCCGGAGTGGCTGTCGTTTTCTGTGTCTGACTCTTGGTGGTTTTGTGGTTGTGTATAGTTGTTTCATTTTGGGACGATGTGAGCGAATGTCTCTTCACCCCACGTAGCACACCTATACACACCAATGACAGGTGGAAGTGTGATGCCCAGCCAGACAGAGCAATGAGTGTGCGGCACTGACAGACAGACCAATGAGTGAGGGGCACTGACAGACAGACCAGTGAGTGCGGGGCACTGACAGACAGACCAATGAGTGCGGGGCACTGACAGACAGACCAATGAGTGAGGGGCACTGACAGACAGACCAATGAGTGAGGGGCACTTACAGAGCAGGAAGGAGGGGTTACTTGAGGTGCACGGGGGATTGCAGCTGCATCAGTACAAGGTTGCACCCTATTGTAGATGATGCCCGGATGGGAGCCGCACTGTGGAGCCCCATTTCCATTCAGTCAGCTACCCTATGTGCTCTAGAATCTTCCAGGATCACACTTGACGCTGAGCGAGAGCAGGACGTAATGGCCACCCTCCCAGCAGATGGTCCTGTGACCCTCCTTGGGCCAGCCACAGACAGGCACTCCAACTGGAGTAGCACGCCGTTAATACTGGCAGAAGCAGGCCATTCTCTGTGAACCTGAGCTAGCATGATACACATAGAGAGTTCCAGGCCAGCCAGGGCTACATAGGAAGACATCGTCTCAAAACAGAAAAGAAGTGGTGACTTTCTTTCGCTTTCTTTTCCCCTTTCTTCCCCCCCCCCACTTTTTTTTAAATTTTTGAGGTGTGTGTGTGTGTGTGTGTGTGTGTGTGTGTTACTAATTCTGCTCTGCTGGCCAGAAACTCACAGAGATCTTTCTGCCTCTGCTTTGGGAGCGCTGGGATTAAATTCGCCATCACACCTGGACGGAGAATGACGAAGTTTCTCAGGTTACCTCAGACTGCTTCCAGGGAGAGTCGCTTTAATTATTACTATTGTTTGCTATTTTCCCCGTTGTCTTAGATTTTATGTGTGAGTGGAAGAGGGGAGGATCCACTTTTTAAACCACCATCAGTGATATGATGGTGTGCACGGTGTGGTCTAGCCCAGCACTCAGGAAACAGAAGCAGGAGGATCTCCAACTTGGAGGCCAGCTTGGTCTACAGAGTGAGTTCCAGGACAGCCAGGGCTACGCAGAAAAACCCTGTCTCAAAAAACAAAATTTGTGAATAAATAAATAATCAGGCTGTAAGAAAACCTCTAAGGCGTTTACTTAATTAATGATGATGTTAGCGGGCCCAGTCTATCTATTGTGGGTGGGGCCATCCCTGGGCCGGTAGTTCTGGGTTCTATAAGAAAGCGGACTAAGCAAGCTATGTGAAGCAAGGCAGTAAGCAATACTACTCGATGGCCTCTGCGTCAGCTCCTGCCTCCAGGTTCCTGTTCTGTTTGAGTTCCTATCCTGACTTTCTTTGAAGATGGACAGAGATATTGGACTATGAACCAGATAAACCCTTCCCTCCCCAGCTTGCTTTTGGTTTTATCATAGGAGTAGTAACCCTAACTAAGACACCAGCTTCACTTCAGAAATGTCTTTCACTATGCAGGTATTTTTTAAAGTTCTGATATACATTTCAACCTTCCATCTCTGCCACTACAGGTGTTTCTGTACAGTCATGACTCAGGAGAGGACGTTGGTGACAAAGGGCACAAAAATCCTGTTAGGGGCTGGAGAGATGGTTCAGCGATTAAAAGCCCATGCTGCTTTGGCAGAAGACAAGTCCAGTTCCAAGTACCCATGGTGGGTGGCTCACAACTGCCTGTAACTCTAGCTCCAGGGGATTCCGGTACCCTCATCCGGACTCTGTGGGCACCCACATTCACAGACACTCATAGACACACACAAATATACACACACACAATTAAAAAAAATTAGTCTTAAAGATGGGTTTCTAAAGCAGAAGGCAAAGCACGCTGATTTTTGTGGTGTGTACAGACACAGGCTGACACGGACATGACAGCTGGGAGGGGGAATTAGAATAATCAAAATGCTCCTTATACGGGCACGAACTTGTCAAAGGGAAAGTGTAATAAAAGTTAGACAAAGTTGGAAAACGTAATAACAGTAATAATGATATTATAATTACCTCCCTGTGTAGGAACAAGAGGAAGCAGGGCTCAGGTTTCAGCCGTTGCCAGTTTTTCTGCTCATTTCAAAAGCCAACTGTGTCAGTGGCATAGGAACCGGAGGGACACAATGTCACCCTTACCCCCCCACACACGCATGGCCACCCCGGGGCCTATTTTGGCGTGGACTTTATAAGTTACATTCTGGACCTTTCTTGGATGTTTCTTAGATACAGTCCCACCGGAAGAGCAGACTCATTAATATTTCAGCCACCCTCCATAGACGCACATAGGCTGGTCTGTCTCAGAAGGACAAAACCTTTGCACTCACCCAGTAAAAATTAAATCTTTATTAATAATCTGCTACTAGAACAGCCTCTGCCAATGATTATACTGTAAGATGTTTTGGGGAACCAGAAGTCTAAGAACTTGGGGCTGAAAGTGTAACTCAGTGGTAGGGTGCTCGCCAGACATACACAAGGCCATGGGATCAATCCATAGCATTACCAAAGTACATGTCCCAGAATTTCAGTTTAAAGCAGCATTGTACACCCGTAATTCCAGCATTTGAATGTGGGGTGGGGATAGAAGGATGAGGAAATGAAGATCATCTCTGGCTAGACAGTAAGTTTGAGGTTGGCCTCTTTATTTTTAAAGGAAAGTCTGTGGGCCGTGAAGACGGCTCAACACGTGAAGGTTCTTGCTACTTGAGACAAACTGAGTTCAATCCCTGAGTCCCGCATGGTAGAAAAAGAGAAGCCACTCCCCAGAGTTGTCTCCTGACATCCACATATGTTCCACGGAACATGCACACTGATGTATCTCCCCACGTGAAATAAAGAGGCTAAGAAATCGATGAAGAGCTGGGTGTGGTGGCGCACGCCTTAATCCCAGCACTAGGGAGGCAAAGGCAGGCGGATCTCTGTGAGTTCCAGGACAGTCTGTTCTGCAAAGAGAATTCCAGGGCAGCCAGCGCTGTTATGTTACTCAGAGAGACTGATTCACAACTGTATGTAACTCTACTCACCTTCTCCTGGCCTCTATGGGTGTAAGATAATGCATGTGGTACACAGACATACATGCGGGCAAAATACGCATACATAGAAGATAAAATAAAAATAAAAAATTTAGCAGAGCGGTAAAGTAAAGCACACCTTTACTCCCAGCACCCAGGAGGCAGAGGGAGGCAGATCTCTGTGAGTTCAAGGCTAACCTGGTTCTACAGAGAGACTTCTGGGATGGCCAGTGCTACATAGAGAGACCCTGTCTCAAAACTAACAAAAATAGAATGCCCCCATAGGCTCATATATTTGAATACTTGTCACCAGAGAGTGGCACTATTTCAAAAGATTATGAGGTGTGACCTTGCTGGAGGAAGTGTGTCACTGGGGGTGGCCTTTGAGCTTTCAAAAGCCCATGCCAATGGCAGAATCTCTCAGGCAGTGAATCAGGTTGTCAGCTACCACTCCGGCACCTGCCTGCATGCCGCCATGCTTCCTGCCGTGGTGATAAGGGTTACCCTGGTCATGGTGTCGCTTCACACCAACACAATACTGACCAAAACAAAATGGAAGTCTTATAAGGTGTCAGACGGGGAAGCAAACCTCAGACATGAGAACGAAAACCCCGCGCAGATTGACTTGTCAGCCTGGGTCAGACTTGGAGTCTACTGGCAGGCGCTTCATTGGCAGCATCCTGAAAACACAGTCCGATTTGGGGAAAGGTTTCCAGGCAGCAGTCGGTCCGATTCCAGGTGCACAAGAAAGCTTAAGCTGTGAATACGTAGGAGTAGGGGCCCTTTTACAAATGAAATGCTTTTTTTTTTTTTTTTTTTTCCAAGACAGGGTTTCTCTGTGGTTTTGGTGTTGTTTTGTTTTTCGAGACAAGGTTTCTCTGTGTAGCCTTGACTGTCCTGGAACTCACTCTGTAGACCAGGCTGGCCTCGAACTCACAGAGATCCACCTGCCTCTGCCTCCCAAATGCTGGGATTAGAGGTGTGCACCACCACTGCCCAGCGAAATGTTTTCTTTCTTAAGAGTTTCTGTCGTCACGGCGTCTATTCCTGGCAATAAAATCCTACCTGAGCCAGGCACATCCTCAATCCCAGCCTGCCCAGTACTCTGGGAGGCAGGGCAAGATCTTTGAGTTCAAGGCCAGCCTATCTGTAGCCTGAGTTCCTGAACAGCCAGGGCTACACAGAGAAACCCGGTCTTGAAAAACTACACACACAAAACCAAAACCCAACCAAACAAAAACCCTAAATGAGTTAGTTTGTGGAGGTATTTCCAGGAAGGATTAGGCCGGAGGGTTCCCTTCTCCCTTGGAAGAGGGTCACAACACAAACAAGATCTACTCTGATGTAGGTGGTACTGTCCCTAGGGCTTGGGGCAACAAAAAGTAAAAAATGAGAAAACCAGAGTTCTGGCTTTCCCCCTTCCCAACTTCCTGTTTTGCTGCGACTTGAGGAACCTCCTTGGGCCCCCTTTGCATGACTGACTGAACTTCTAAAACCACGAGGCCAAGTGAGCCCGCTTCCGGTGGTTATGCAAATCAGTTAATCACCTGGACACACACGAGGCTGGTGCGTGAGCTTCTGTGCCTCCCCCACCCCCACCCTCTTTGAGATTATTTTGTCCATCCCTTAATTTGGAATTTTCCCGGGTCCGGCTGTTGTCACTTTCCTCCTTCTCTGATTCGGAGTTTCCCTTGGAAACACTTTTCACATGGCTGTCCCAGAATTCACTCTGTAGACCAGGCTGGCCTCGAACTCACAGATCTGCCTGCCTCAGTCTCCCGAGTGCTGGGATTAAAGGTGTATACCACCACCACCCAGCCACTTCTCATCTTTAAGAGTGCCTCTTGTTGGCCTGGAGCTCACCATTAAGTTGACTGACTTGCCAGTGAGCCCCCAAGATCCTCCGTTGTTTTCCAGATTGTTTTGGAGTTACAAGCATGTACCAACATACCCAACTTTAAAAAATTAATTATTAACCCAAGAATGGTGGCACCCCCCTTTAGTCCCAGCGTGAGAAGCAGACGCAGGCAGACGTCTATGTACTCAAGGCCAGAATGATCTACACAATGAACTCCAGGCCAGTCAGGGCTATATGGTGAGATCCTGTCTCAAACAAAACAAACAAAATAAAACGAATTAACGTTCATATTATTGAGTGTGCGTGTGAATGTGTATGAGCAAATGCTGTGGCTCCGGTGTGGATGTCAGAGGAGCTGCTCCGGTCCTTCCCCTGTGGGTTCTGGGATTCGAGTCCTCAAGCTTACACAGCAGCCATCTTACCTGCCAAGCTGTCTACCAGGCCATCCCCCACTTCTGACGTGGGTCCCGGAGGCTGAACTCAGGTCCCCGTGTGTGGCTTCGCTGACTAACCTATCTTCCCAGCTCCTTAAAACCAAACATTTTAAAATGTATTTTGCTTTTCCTGTGTGTTCTGTGTGTGTCCTGCCAGCTCCAGAACTCTGTGGCTCCTCAAGCTATTGCTCATGATCCTGGGACTTGCCGTTGTTCTGTTTATGTTCCGAAGTGTGCCCCTGCAAGCAGTGTTCAGCACATTCGAGCCACAGATCCCGAAGGCTGTGCCGGGTGGCCAGGTGCTGAAGCTTCTACCTGAGAAGCACCTGAGGAACCTCTTTACCTACGATGGCATCTGGTGAGACTCTGGGTGCCCTGGCCTCTTTTATTGTCTCCCTCGATGTCTCTTTCCAGCGTTTCCGTGGAGCCCTAGGCCTCATGGGCAGTTCTGAACAGCTGCTGATTGCCAAAGTGACTCTCAGAGACCAGACATGGTCTGTGGGATCTGGGCTATATCCTCTACGACATCCAGAAACCATACAATCTCAAGGGGAAGATGCTGCCTCTTGGTGTCTGCCCTGGTGGGACTTACTGCCAACTGAAGCCTGTGGTTCTTGGGTTGAAAGAAGCTAGATGGAGGGGGTAATCAAGAGGGCCGTGGTGGCCAGGCGGTGGTGGCGCATGCCTTTAATCCCAGCACTTGGGAGGCAGAGGCAGGCAGATCTCTGTGAGTTCGAGACCAGCCTCGTCTACAAGAGCTAGTTCCAGGACAGGCTCCAAAAGAGGGCCGTGGTGCACTCAGGAGGTTTTTTTATTTATTTATTTATTTATTTATTTATTCGAGACAGGGGGTCTCTGTAGCTTTGGAGCCTATCCTGGAACTAGCTCTTGTAGACCAGGCTGGCCTAGAACTCACAGAGATCCGCCTGCCTCTGCCTCCTGAGTGCTGGGATTAAAGGCGTGCGCCACCACTGCCCGGCTGGGCAGGGGGTTTGCCATGGGTTCAAGGCCAGTCTGTGCCAAATAGACGAGATCTTGTCTTAAAAGGGGGAAGGAAGGGGGGGGGGGGGGGGGGGCTCTTCAGTCCTTCTCATCCTCCCTCCGACTTCCTTCAATCTGTCTCTGCAAGGGGTCACTGCTGGGTGGTTCCAGGGTGTAAACCCAGTTAGGAGAGCCGTGTGGGAAGAGATTTTCAGGGTGAGTGTCACGCAGGACTAGGGCTAAGGTCCCTCCCTCCCATCAGCCATCCATGTATACGCTTCTTTTGCTTGTTTTAGGCTCTTCCCCAAAAATCAGTGTGACTGTGATTCCGGCCAGCTGAAAAGAAAATACAATTTTCAGGGTGCCTATAACCAGAACGACCTCCCAGCTGTGAATGCCAGGAGACAGGCGGAATTTGAACACTTTCAGAGGAGGTGATGCAGGCTGTGGGGTCCCTCAGGTCTCCGGGGAGAACAAACACCCATCCCGAGTGTTTGAGGGAGTGAGGGACCCTAAGAAACAAAATTTGGACCTTGCCCTCTTGATGGACCCCCGGGAAGAACTGTTGGGAATAAAGAGAGGAAGGCAATAGAGGGTAAAGTCCTCCAAGGAAGATTTGAAGGGGTTTGTGTGCATAAAACATTTCAATAAACCAACAGAGAAAAAGGAACAGAGCTTGCTCCACCTTGCTCAGTCATGGTGGTGGCACCTTGGCACTAGGTGCCCAGGCCAGCATAGAAAGTGACTCGATATGCTGGGAGCATACTGTCTGCCAGCTCTGTGCGAAATGTGTCACTTTGACTTTAGACAGTACTGGGGACTGAACCTAGGGCCTCCTGTTAGCTAGGCAGGCCCTCCATGCCCCGCCCCCAGTTCTTTCCCTGTGGTGCTGGGCATCAGACCCAGATTTTTGCAGGTGCTGGCAGATGCTCCTTTGCACTGATACCAGGATTGCTGGGTGAAAAGGGCATTAAAGTGAGTTCTGGCAGGCTTTTAGTGGAGGCATTTTGTATATGCTGGCCATGGTTGGTACTTAACTGCCATCCTAGAGTGTGGGAAGCTGAAGCAGGAGGACTGTTAGCTGAAGGCCAGCCTAGGCTTCATGTCAGACCTGTCTCAGACCAACAAGATGGCGTTGCTTATGACAGCCCCTTTAAAAGTAACTAGAGGTTTTGGAGAAAGGCTTCTTATGCAGGGCTAGCAGGCCGTCGCTGACCGTGAACCTTGGTTCCTGCTTGCATTATCTGTGGTACTTATTTCAGGCATAGATATATTCCACCTCAGGAAGCAGCCAGACAGAACTGGCCTGTCAGGGATGAAGCTGTTCTTTCCTCAGGATTTACTTTTTATTGCTCTGAATCATGTTTGTGTGTATGTGCGGGTAATGATTTCACTTGATCCTGTTGATTATGAGAGCAACTTTTAAGATGTGTTTTGCCGTACACTGACTCTCATGCTTCTGTCTCCTGAAGAAAAGGGCTGCCCCGCCCACCGCCTCTGCTGGCGCCACCCAATCTCCCCTTTGGGTACCCAGTGCATGGAGTGGAGGTGATGCCCCTGCACACAGTTCTCATCCCAGGTGGGTACATCTGCGTCTCGAGAGGCTGCAGACAAAAGGTGTGCCCTTGTGCTCTGGGCACAATGCAGGAGGCTTGGTGGGATTTCATTCTGTGTGAGACTCCCTGGTTCCACAACCCGGAGTCTCTCTTTGTAGCTGTGGATTCCCTGTGGCTCTAAGATAATATAGAAGTTGGAATTTTGTGGGCCTCGGGGGCATCTTAGGGGATAGTTGGTTTTCAAAGGTTCTCTAGCAACAAGAGCGTCTTGATGAACCCATTCCCAGGGAGGGTTTTCTGAAAAAGAGTTTTTTTTCTGTTCAGATCCCTTCCAGGGCAGGCTCAGCAGGTAAAGGTGCTTGTGCCAGGGCTGCCACCAAAATTAAATGCAAATAAAGCAATAAAGACAAAGCAAAAACAAGAGCATGCCTTCACGGGGTCTTTACGCATCCATCTGCTTCAGCATCACCCGATGTTTCAAAGCCAAGGACAGAGATGCCAGGAGACCACAGGCAGTCCGTGCATTTCCTCCCCAGAAGTGGTGGGTGGACGCTGGGCCATCTCGTGGATTCCTCTCCTGCTATGTGGGCTCTCTTGGCATCTAGAGGCAAACAGCCCCCACCATGAGCCGTGGAAAAGATCTTGTTTAGCTGGGTGACAGTGGCACCTGGGGTCCAGCAAGTCTCCATGAGCAAGACCTGAATTATCCAAAGTCACACCGCTAACAGGTGAGATGAGAGTGAGTGCCCGGGACAGAAGGCATGCAGGCGCCAAATCCGTGGTCCAGCCTTCCAGACGGAACAAGGGGAGCGAGAAGCAGCCTCCCTGGCCCAGTGGCAGCTAAACTTTGTTGGGAACCATGCAGCCTAGTCTCGGATCTGTCCAACGGGTTTCCCCAGGGCAAGGCACCCGTGGAACTGGACTCTCTGTAGTCCACAGAGCAGCGTAGGAATCTGCTGGCTCTTTTCTCTCATTATGTTGGTGATTCTTTGGGTGGTTTTTAGTTTTGTTCTGCCAGTCACATGTGCAGCTGCTGTAGTTCCCCTGGAAATTCTGTTCCTTTTCAATTATTTTCCCTTAAGATCCAGCAGGGGATTGATACTTCTTAAATCTTTTCTCTGGAACATTACAACTCCCAATCCTGGAACTTTCCTGACTCAATGGTGATAGTAAGGTACATACAAGAAAGCAACACTTGGAACATTGGCCAGGTCTCACAGTTCTGGAAGGGAGAGTAGAGCATGTACACACAGAATAGGGAAAAGGCCGCAGACATACACCTAGTGCCAGCTGTCGAGAGGAAGTTCCCTGGACACCAAGCATGTAGAATCAACCATAAGATCTAGTATATTCCAATGGGAAAATGCAGTGCAATCTGGGATGGAGTGACCCATCTTTAGCATACACAGGAGCTTGTATTGGTGGAAGAAGTGTGGTCTAGTGAGACGGGAAAAGCTTTGTCG